TATATATATATATGATAGATTGTAAATATTTAAAATATAAACTTAAATTCTGTCTAAAAATTTAAAATTACTAAATTTGGTAATCTATTTGAATATTTTAAAAATTCCATCTCAAAAAATTAATTAATCAGTTTATGGTATAAAGTTAGTAAAATTAATAAATCCTAAATAGGTATAAAGTAAGCAATTTTATTTTATGCATCTGTGACCATTTTTACTTTTTGTATGAAATGTGTTGTTATTAATAAATGATTTTATTTTATGTATCTAATGACCATTTTTACTTTTGGTATGAAATGTGTTGTTATTAATAAATGTCTAATTATGGTATAAAGTGGACGATTTTATTTTAGTATGAAACATGTATATTTAAATAGTATAGATTTTATTTGGTAATGATAAAAGTGTATTTGAAAATATTAAAAATAAAATAACTGGTATGGAATTTAGTTGGTATGGGTATAGAATTCTAGGTTGATTTGATATAAAATCAAGATGGTATGATCCTCAAATGTTAGCATATTCTCATAATAACATGTGATAAGATATTAATGATAATTTTACAAATTGGTATTTATTCCTTTTGAAAATCATAAAGATATTTGAACAAATATTGGTTAATAAAATTTAAAATTTGTAATTTATATAGTTCTAGAAAATTAGTTAATAAATTTGAACCATAATGTAACCGACAATAAATCCATTAGAATTTATTGTGTAGTCCAAATTTAGGTTCCAAATTAGTCAATATTAACTTGGATTGTAAATGAAATAGTTATTTTTTTATAGTTTAGTAAATTACTGAACTACTTAAATTTTTTTATTTGAAGAGTTTATACAAAAATAAATTATTTTAATTAGTAAAATAATATAAGTTTATAATTATACTTATTATTCACATAGATTTTTTAGTAGGGCGTTACTATTTACCGCCCCCCTTATTACTAGTCACCGCCCCCCTTGGACGATTTTGCCCTTCTCATTTGCACCATGTCAAGCAGCTCGGAGGTAATTTTTTTTCTGTCCGGACGGGAAAGCCTCACGGGACCGGTCGTGTCCAGCCGAAGAAACCGGACGGCCCATAGGGCGTCCGGCCGGTTCGGCCGAACGTGACCGTCCCCGGACGACTTTTTGGGCCGTACGAACCGATCTTTGTACTAACAGACCGGCCGTACGGCCGGCTTGATGTCCGGTCGCGACGAC